AGAAAGAACAAGAAGACTTCTATCTGTAAAAAAATGTGATGTAGTTCAGAACTCCCCAGACAAATAGAAGAACCTAAAAGTTGGCAGGGATTAAAATCAGGCTTCAAACAAAGGAATGAAAATCAGCCTGACTTGTTACCAGCAACACTGGAACCTAGGAGACAATGAAGTAATATCTTTAAATTTCTGAAGAAATAATACTTACTTAGAGGGTGACATACAATAAAAATAATCATAGTAAAGTACACGGTATGTTAGATGGTAATAAGTACTGTGGATATAAGAAGAAATTGAGCAAGATAAAGGAGACTGGTAAATTCAGGGAGGTGAGGATGGAGGTCACGTTGCAATAATCAGGGCAGAACTCATGGAGAAGTAAGACTTGCACAGACACTGGAAGAGGTGAGAGGATTCACCCACCAGATACATGAGGAAGAATACAGTTTCTTAAATGATCACTAAAGAAAACTAATAAAATACAAATATGCCTTTCAACATCTCACGTTATGAAAAAGGAAACAAATTATATTACCCAATAACATAGAACCAAAAGACATATAGTGTACTTACACGTGAGAATAATAAATCCAATCTCATAGAATAGAAAAACATTATATCTCAGAAACAGATTTTTTCTTTTATATTCCTATAGCATTTTATACATATACATACGCTAGCTTGTATCTGCATTTTAAGTACAGCGTTTGTTTATATGTTTATACCCCCTATCGGAATGTGAGCTCTTGAAGAGCAGCAACTATTTCTGACTCCTCTAAGTGCCCCAAGTATCCAACACAAGTTTCTGGCACAGAATGAATCCGCAATTAATATTTTTGAATGGTGACTAAAGGAGCATAAAGAATAAAAGCATAACCTATCTCCAAGTACACAAAAGAATCAAGAATAATTCAATTATAATCCATATTTATTTTGACAATATATTCATTTTTTAGTCTTACAGTTTTAAAGGATCAAAACATCAATCTTTTCCCATATGTCAAATCTTTTAATCAGTGAATAAACAATTTAAAAGCATTTTTTAAAATATAATTTAAAGATTATTCAGGGATAGTCATTAATTCTATCAGAGTTATGCTTGTGGATGGCTGACTTCCTAAATTAGAAAATGAAATAATAGTAGTTTATCATTTACAATCACTGGGACTACGATTTAAAAAATACCTGACTGAAAATGGCTTAAACAATAGTTTATGACCCTACCTAAGTAAGTCTACAGATGGGGGGTCCAGGTTTGGCTAATTTCACTACTCAGCAATGTCTGGGCTCTAATGTAGCTTCTGTATATAATTTTTTGGCTCTTCTTTCATGGGTACAAGATGGCAGCAACAGTTCCAAGCATCATGTCCTTATTCAACAACATCCACAGGCACCAAGAGTGGAATTTCTCCGTGGGTCTCTTTCTTTTTATCAGGGAAAAATATGTGTCCCAGAAGCCTCAAGTAGATGCTTTTTATGTCTTATTGCCAATACTTGGTGCTATTCCCACTAGCAAAAGGAAATTGACTTCTTCAGTCAAAAACAAACAAAAAAGGAGCAGAGGTAGAGTTTCCAATTCCAATACGATGAAATAATCACACTCAGTCCAATCTCTCTCACAGATTACAACTAAAAACCTTGGACAGAATACATAAAGAAACCATCTGGGGACTCTGAAAAGTAAATAACAGAAGACATATTTGGAAGGAAAACCAAATTTTGAAGAATAACGCACACATCAATAAATTTCCTGAATTGTTTTTTTTCTATCTCCCAGTTTAGACTGGTGGTGGTGTTGTCAGTTGCTGTGGGGTCAGCTCCGACTCATGGCAGCTTTATGTATAATGGTCCTGCACCATCTTCATGGTTGTTGGTACATTTCAGTCCATTTAGAATGTAGGGCAGCCCAAGTCCAGGAACTGCAGAGCAGTTATGGACGGAAAAAACTCCAAGAGAAACCCTCTTTCTAAACAGACGATTGGGAAGAGGGGCCCTGTGGGCTGGAGATCCCCCTGCCTTGTGTTGAGGCAGCACCAGTCGGGAAGCTGCCCTCTCGAGAGCAGCAGTGACCGGGCGGCACTGTCCGTAACAGCAATGGTAGGCATGCGGGCATCTAAAACACTGAGGTAAAATCCTTCTCTCTGAGCAGATGAACTGGGAAGAGGAGTCCCTGTCATCTTATGCTTTCTCCTAAAAGTTTTATGTTTTACATTTAAATTTACCATCCAATTGAGTTAATGTTTGTATAAAATGTGAAGCTGAGGTAGAGTTTTTTTGCATGTGAATGACAAATTGTTCCAACATTATTTGTTGAAAAGACCATCTTGTCTCCACTGAATTTCTTTTATACTGTATCAAAAATCAAATTTGTGTAGGTCTACTTCTGGACTCTCCATCCTATTCCATCAATTTATCTGTCAATACCGTCACCAATTCCACACTGCCTTAATTACTGTAACTTTAAAGTAAGTCTTAAAATTTGGTAGTCCCCTACCTTTATTCTTTTTTTTTAAAGATGGTTTTAGATGTTCTAGTTCCATTGCCTTTCCATACAAATTTTAGATTCAGCTTGGCTATACCTACAAAAAAACTTGTTGGGATTTTGGCTGGTACTGAAGTAAGTCTATAAATCAACTGAAAGAGAATTGACATTTTAAGTATTCCAATCCATGAACACAGTATGTCTCTCCATCATTTAGGTCTTTGATTTCTTGCGTCAGCATTTGGTTGTTTCAAGCATATAGATCTTACATGTGTTTTCTTAGATTTGTATGTAAGTATATCATTTTTTAGAGCTATAATATGTAATTTTCAAACTATGGTTTCCAATTGTTATTTGCTAGTATGTAGAATACTGATTGATTAGATTGAAACTTATTAGTTCTTGTTCATAAATTCCTTGAAATTTTCGACACTGACAATCATGTAGTCTGCCAATAGTGACAGTTTTATTTCTTCCTTTGATCTGTATGCCTTTTATTTCTTTTTATTGCTTTATTGCACAGGCTAAGACTTGTAGTACCACAAATAGTAAGTGTGGTAAAAGTGACATCCTTGCCTTGTTCTTGATTTTGTTGTTGTAGTTGGCTGCTGTCACATTGGCCCCCAACTCATGGTAACCCCATGCACAACAGAAAAAAATGCTGCCCAGTCCTGTGCCATCTCCATGACTGGCTGCGGACTGAACTGTTGAGATCCACAGGATTTTCATCGGCTGATTATCAAAAGTAGATCACCAAGTCTTTCTTCCTAGTCTTAGTCCAGAAGTTCTGCTGAAACCTGTTCAGCATCATAGCAACACACTAGTCTCCACTGACAGACAGATGGTAACTATGCATGAGGTGTATCTGGCCAGAACTCAGAAACAGGTCTCCTGTATAGAAAGTGAGTATTCTACCACTGATCCACCAATGCCCCTTGTCCTAGGTTTTAGAAGGTAAGAATTCAGTCTTTCATCATGAAGAATAATGTAGCTGTAGACTTTTTATGCATGCCTTCTATCAGATTGAGGAAGTTTCTTCTATTGCTAGTTTGCTGAGAGTTTTTATCAGTAACAGACAGTGAATTTTGTCAAATGTTTTTTCTGTATCTATTAATATAATCATGTGGTTTTTCTTCTTTAAACTTAATATGATGGGTTACATGTATTGATTTTTGAATAGTGAAGTAGCCTTGCATGCCCAGGATAAACCCCATGTTTCACAATTATGTATATACATATTTAGATTAAATTTGCTAATATTTTGTTGAGAATTGTCATGTTTATGTTCATAAGGCATATTGGTACGTAGTTTTCTTTTCTTGTATTGTCTTTGATTTTGGTTTAACGTAATGCTGGCCTCATAGGATGAGTTGGAAAGTTTTCTCTTCTATTTTACGGTAAAGATTATGCTGAATTGGTATCATTGGAAAGTGTTCTTTTCTATTTTATGGTAAAGATTATGCTGAATTGGTATCATTTCTTCTTTAAGTGTTTGTTAGAACTCACCAGGGAAACCACCTGAGCCTGGCATTTTCTTTGTTAGTAGGTTTTAACTAAAAACTCCGGTTTTTTAGTAGATAATAGAACAATTCAGATGATCTATCTCTTCTTGAGTGAGTTCTTTAAGTTTATGTCTTTCAAAGAATTGGTCCATTTCACTTAAATTGTTTAATTTCTGGGCACAGAGTTCACAGTATATTCACAGTATATTCTCTTATCTTTTTAACATCTGTGTGGTCTGTAGTAATATCCCCCCTCTGCTGAGATAATGGTAATTTGTGTTTCTCCCTTTTATACTTAGACAGTCTGTTTACACGTTTATAAATTTTATTGATTTTTTTCAAAGAATCAGCTTTGACTATTGATTTTAGACCACTTTTCTAATCTAAAAATTCATTGCTATCAATTTCACGCAAAGCATTACTTCAGCTTCATCCCACAAATTTTGTTATGTTTTATTTTCATTCAGTTGAAAGTATTACTTTATTTCCCATGAGACTTCCTCTTTGACCCATAAGTCATTTAGAAATGTGTTAATTTCCAAATATTTTGGGATTTTCCAGATATCTCTCTGTTACACATTTCTAGCTTAACTACTGTCCATTCTTTTTTTTTTTTTTTCAGGATTTAAAACTTATTTGCATATTAAAAAAATTGTGCATTCCAATAATTAAAATCATTTGAACAAAAAAAAATGGCACTCTGATTAAACTGCATTTTATGCCTGCAGGACACCTTAGACCGGCTTTGCTCTTACTCAACATATTTATTCACTGTCGTCCCACCCAGCTCCTTCCATCACCAACATGCAAGCTCTCTTCCTTCCCTGCCAGCCAGACAGGCGGATGGGGGTGGCAGGCGCCGCCTTCGTAGTCAGTAGTTCTCGATTCTTTGACGTGCAAAGGGGCAGCACAGTCATTTAAACTTGATCCAACCTCTCTGCATCTCACAAAGTTAAACAGCTGAAAGAAGGAAGAAGGCAATGCTTGTGGAACGTACAGTGCGTATCGGCCGCGGCGCCTCAGTGCGATTCGCCTGCTTGCTTCTCCTGTTCGATCGTTTCTTTTGAAGGCAGTGGATTTTTCTCTTGCGTTTCCGTCTTCTTCAATTTCGACTTATCGCATTTCTCAATCTCAGCCATATCGGGTTTGTCAGACATAGCTGTGATAGAAGCGAGCGAGGCACGAGAGAGCTGAGTCCGTGTGTGCTGTGGCCGCCACCTAATCTGTCCATTATTTTCTAATAACACGTTTATTTTAAAGCTAGCCAACAATACCACTTATTTTTATCAAACAAATTATTTTAAAGTTAAGGAAAAGACTGGTAGGTTTTCAGTTTTTTTTGGAAAGATACTTGAAACCTAACAACTGGCTGTTTGATACATTCACTCAGTGGGTAAACAGTCAGGCAGCCTCCATCAATGGGCTGTCGCGTTATTTCATTTATTTTTATTACTCATACTCAAATTAACTTCAAAGCTTCACCATGTATCTATTGTGAATCTGGACAGTTAAGCAGGACAGAGAAAAGGTGCAGTTCCACTAACGGTAACCTAACACTGGCTGTCAGGTGGGCCCTGTTAGGCCATCCATCCTCGTTAACGATCCTGCTGCTCCTTCCCCAGCTGTGGTTGTGCTCTCAGTGCTTAATCCTGCTCCTCTCCTGTTCACCTTAGTCTCTTTCCCCAGCTGCAATGGATTTTCACCAGTACCCTATGGGTGACAATGCTTGTTTCCCTTCTAGCCACTGATTCAGGCTTGTGTTCCATGGCAGAAATAGAAGAGAAGGATGGGCGGCAGTTTCTTTCCCATCTTATATAGCTGCTGCTCCCCTGTGGAAATTATCGAACAATATCATACCCAAGTAAAATTTTGCTGAAGATCATTCAAAAGCGGCTGCAGCAGTACATCGACAAGGAATTGCCAGAAATTCAAGCTGGATTCAGAAGAGACGGTAGAACGAGGAATATCACTGCTGATGTCAGATGGATCACGGCTGAAAGTAGAGAATACCGGAAAGATGTTTACCTGTGTTTTATTGACAATGTAAAGGCATCTAACTGTGTGGATCATAACAAATTACAGATAACATTGTGAAGAATGGGAATTCTGGAACACTTAATTGTGCTCATGAAGAACCTGTACACTAGACCAAGAGGCAGTCATTCGAACAGAACAAGGGGATACTGTGTGGTTTAAAGTCAAGAAAGGTGTACGGCAGGGTTGTACCCTTTCCCCATATTTATTCAATCTGTATGCTGAGCAATTAATCCAAGAAGCTGGACTATATGAATAAGAACGCAGCATCAGGATGACACTACCTTGCTTGCTGCAAGTGAAGAGGACTTGAAGCACTTACTGATGAAGATCAAAGACCACAGCCTTCAGAATGGATTATACCTCAACATAAAGAAAACAAAATCCTCACAACTGGACCAATAAGCAACATCATGATAAATGAAGAATAAAGACTGAAGTTGTTAAGGATTTCATTTTACTTGGATCCACAATCAACACCCATGGAAGCAGCAGTCAAGAAATCAAATGACACATTGCATTGTGCAAATCTGCTGCAAAAGACCTCTTTAAAGTGTTAATAAGCAAAGATGTCACTTTACGGACTAAGGTACACCTGACCCAAGCCATGGTGTTTTCAGTCGCCTCATGTTCATGTGAAAGCTGGACAATGAATACAGAAGACCAAAGAAGAACCGATGCCTTTGAATTAAGGTGCTGGCGAAGACTACTGAATATACCATGGACTGAAGAATACTGAATATGCCACAGACTACCAGGGAACAAACAAACCTGTCTTGGAAGAAGTACAGCCAGAACACCCACTAGAAGCAAGGATGGCGAGACTTGGTCTCACATACTCTGGACATGTTATCAGGAGGGACCAGTCCCTGGAGACAGATACCATGCTTGGTAAAGTAGAGGGTCACTGAAAAAGAGGAAGATCTTCAGTGAGATGAATTGACACAGTAGCTGCTACAAAGGGCTCAAGCATTACAAATGATTGTGAGGATGAAGCAGGACCGAGCAGTGTTTCGTTCTGTTGTACACAGGGTCAGGACGAGTCAGAAGCAACTTCATGGCAGCTAACAACAACTTCCCTCCCTCAAGTAGTAACATAATGGACACTTATTAGGGCTCCTTCTAATCTTTTCTGTAAGCACCCAGTGGGATTCATGGAGAAAGAGTTAACAAGAGTGCTCGGATTTGTCCAATTTCTGCAGCCCACCGGGGTTTCATATTGTCCCAACAACCTGCCCCGGACCTTCACCAACTTGTCAATTTGCAAGGAACTCTTCTTACCTGCACCCAGTGTCCACGTGCCTGTACCCGAGGTGAGAACATGCTGGCACTGCCGCTCTCTGCAGGCACTATATTTTCTTTGATTTGGGGCCAGCTGATTGTTCTGTGACTTTAGCTCTCTGATAGGTTTTAGAAAGTCATGAATTTGAACTTACCCTGGCTCTTTTCTACTGTCAGAGCTGAAGATATGCTTCTTCTAGCTCTCTACATCCAGGGGTAAAAGCTGGAAGTGCCTCAGGTGCAATTTTAAAACACTTTTTTCATTTTTTGGCAGTAAATACATATTTTGACGAATGGGAGACCTCTATAAAAGGATTTATGTGTAAATCCTATTGTGGCTAGTACTTATTAAATATTCAGTTTCTTTCCCTAAAATTCTCTCATTCTTAACAGGGAGAGTGAAAATCTAGAAAAAACAAATTAACGCAAACTTTTAATGGTATAAGAAAGCAATTCTCTTTTTTTCATTGTAGTCTGGACCTCAATTTGAGTACATGGGAGGAAAGGAAAGAAAGGAAATAAAACAGAGCACAGACGAAAACTGGAAGAGAGTCCATGGTTTGCTGCAGATTTAACTAACAAGCAATGGGGATACTTATTTCATCTCCTGCCAAATATTTCTGCCTATATTACTATGGGAACGTTCTTCCCTAAATACCTTCAGGACTCATGCCTTCACCCTCTTCAGTCCCTCTTCATTGAGGCCTTCCCTGCCAGGCCCATTTAAAATTGTTAACACTCCCCCTAGCCCCACACCTCCCAATCCCCTTTTCTGCTATATTTTTCTCCTTGAAACTAACAATCTCAAGCACACTTATTTATTTTACTAATGGACTCTCTCTCCCATTAGAATGTAAACTTCATGAGGGCACAGAATTTTGTGAGTTGTATTCACTGCTGTATCTCCTGCAACTTTGAACAGTACCTGGCACATAACAGGGGCTCGATAAATATATACTGAATGAATGAATCTTTTCCTTTTCAACCTATAGAACGTTTCTGTTCTTGTTTTCCTATTTACCTTTGCTTTTCCCTGTAGCCCTTGAGCTCCTTCTGCCCACTTCAGATTGATCACCTAGTATTAAACTGCTTTAGTCGAGATTACAATAAAATATTTTTATATTCTTTCATTCAGTAAAGGAGTCCTGGTGGCACAGTGGTTAAAGTAATCAACTGCTAATCGAAAGGTCGCCAGTTCAAAACCACCAGCAGCTCTGCAGGAGAAAGATGTGGCAGCCTGCTTCCGTAGAGAGTTACAGCCTCAGAAACCCTATGGGGTTGCTATGAGTTGGAATCTACTCAACAGCAGTGGGGGATTTCATTCAATAAATACATATTAAGTTTCTATTAGTTACAAGGCCCTATTCTAGGTACAAGGCTGTAGCAGCCACTGTTAAGGTCTCAGTTGTATCCCTTTGACCCAGCTGAATTCACCTGGTGGACAGGTAGACAATTCCTGGCCTGCTGACAGCTTCCCACCTCCATTGAACTTTGGGTCTCTCTTCTTAGACTGAGGGCTTTCTCTGACACCAGCGGCACCTGCCCTGCAGCACACAGTTGTAACCAGAAGTACAGAGGTGAACACCATCGGAGGCTATCTGTGGCCAACAGGAGATGGAAGTCAGTGGATAATGTCCCAGCCTCCATGTCCACTCATGGGACACACAATTTCTTGAAGGTTCCAGTGGGATTGAGCCCCAACTGCCCACAGTGGTAACCCACTATGAAAGTACCCTTTACTGGCTTTTCCCTCTTCTCTGTCTCACATTGTCATTTCCTCATTTTTGTTCCCTGGGATCATCTTCCAACTAAACTACCGGCACCCAGGTTCTTGTCCCAGGTTTGCTGGAGTAGAGAAGGAAGTAGGTAGAACTTGGCAGCCTGCTGTTCTCCACTGGACTGCGACCTATGGGTCCTACTAAGTATCCGGCCCCTAGTGAGGGGTATCGCTGAGCAGAGAGTTCACACTGCCTGTACTTGGAAAACCCATTGCTGTCGATTCCGACTCATGGCGACCCTATCGGACAGAGTAAAACTGCACCATAGGGTTTCCAAGGAGTGCCTGGAAGATTCGAACTGCTGGTCTTTTGATTACCAGCTGTGGCTCTTAACTACTATGCCACCAGGGTTTCCCTGTACTGGGAAGCAGCTTCTAACCCGAGAGTCAGCTGAACATGAATACAGGGACAGCTTCCTCCTTGACATCACTGTTCCCTCCCCACCTCTTTCCTTTGAATCCTTTCTTCTCATCTTACTTATCCTTTTTCCTCTGGAAAAGTGGAACCAGCAGGGACTAAGGGACTAAGAGTATCTCTTTAACTTTCCATGGCTTCAAAAGACGCTGACCCCTAAATGGGTCACAATTTGTACCTGAGCTTGAGTACACACAGGCTTAGCAAAGAGAACAACAGTGTCATTCAAAACACATCCGAGTGGAGTTTGCCAGAAATGACATAATACTGGGTGGTGGCAGTATCTATATCTGCAGCCACTATTATCCGTAAAATGAAGTTAAGACTGATGGATGATCATGTCATAGGTCAGGAACCTATGCAATTAGCATGCAGAAGACCAGAAGCTATCTTACTTGTAACCTCGGTTGAAAGTTGCTCTTCTTTAGGGTTTATTCTTTTATCCTTTTTTGTCCACTGCCATTCTGAATAGCTCAGAACACAGGTTTGATTTGGGGGTTTGTTGCTGTTTGTTTGTTTTTTTTGTTGTTGACATTTCTCTCTTTCTTTGTTTTTCAGGTTCATCCAGGGAGGAGTGGGAGGTAGAAGGGGGAAGATTTAAAATACTCAGTGCATGAGAAATCCAAGATCTGATCCAAACCAGCCATTGTGATGAGCAGTTTTCAAACACTGTTCCATTAGCCCTAGATTTCTGATGAAGCATCTA